AAAAAAAAAAAAAAAAAAGCCAGCCTCAGTTAAGAGTACTGATGAGGAAAGTCTGAATAAAATATTACCAGTGGATTCCACAGCGCATTAAGAGACCAAAGTATCCTAGCCAAGTGAAGGACATTGTGGGAATGCCACAATGGGATGGGTAGTATTTGGAAATCCATAAATAAATTCTATAAATAGAATTCCCATATTACCTGGTCAGATAAGAAAAACAATATGGTGATATATGATGGAAAGCATTTTGTGAGATTGAACTTTTTTTTTTTTTTTTTAAGCTCTTCATACGGGGTGCCTGGGTGGCTCAGTTAAGCCTTGGACTCTTGATTCCAGCTCAGTTCATGATCTCAGAGTCATGAGATTGAGTCCTGCTTGGGGCTCTGCGCTCAGTGGGGAGTTGGCTTAAGATTCTCTCCCTCTGATCTGAAGTGCAAAAAAAAAAGATTCTCTCCCTCTGCCCCTCCCCTTGCTCATGTTCATGCATGCTCTCTCAAATAAATAAATCTTTAACCAAAAAAATAAAAACAACCCTCTTCATACATTTAGAATGTATGGGTACCAATTTCACATATGATCTATGGCAATGTATAGCCAGAATTTATCTTATTAAAGGGAGAGAACAAAACAAGAACATCAACTCTCATCAGTTCTATTAATTTTATTTTTTCAGAGCTATTAGCCAAGAAAATTAGCCAAGAGAGATTAGTGGGATAAAATTGGAAAGAAGGGCATACGGTTAACACTGTTGCCTCTGCTGTGTTGTTGTTTTGTCGGTTTTCCAGTTTTACATTTCCTCTTTCCTAATAAAGAGGGTTTTTTCTTTTTTTTTTGAGAAAGATCATTATTTTTAAAAGAGGATCCCAGCCATTAGAATACTTCCATTTTTTTTTTAATCCCTACACAACATAGTAGGTCATTCCCAGCTCCTCTTGGCTGCCATTGTGTCCCATGGATCTTCTTTTAAAACTCAGAATTCTCCTCTCCATGTTCTAAATAAATGAGGTAGATGGGTGTGTGTGTGTGTGTGTGTGCGCGTGCGTGTGCGCGCGCGCGCATGGTGCCAGTTCTGGTTTGGCTACTATCAACATAGAGAATCAGACTACTGAGCAGTTATTTTCATTGCTTTTTAATATTCATGATAGAAGGCAGGAAAAGGGTTTTTACAGCTTTGGTTTATTTAATACCATGATTGGGTTCTTCTGTTTCCCTCTACACATCACTGAGAAGTTTCAAAGAATTGCATTGAGATTAGTCAAGTTCTATATACTCTTGTTATTCAAGTTCCCTTTCAAACAGTTTCTGTGATATGTGAACACAAAATAAATTATTGGCACCAGATTCAGAATTTTTTTACAAAAATCAAACACTTATTTTCAAGATATGTGTAGGTGAAGGTAATTATAGCTTTCCTATGGGAATTGGTTACATATAGAGGCGCCGCGGTTGGTTGAACATCCAACGCTTGGTTTTGGCTCATGATCTCTGAGGGTCGTGAAATTGAGCCCAGCTCTGTGTTCAGCTCGGAGTCTGCTTGTGTTTCTCTCCCCCCTCCTTCTCCCCCTCCTTCCTGTGCGTGCGCGCACACACACACACACACACACACACTCTCTCTCTCTCTAAAATAAATCTTTAAAAAAAACTTAAAAGAATTGGTTACATATAGAAATTTTTATTTTAACTGACTTTTTCTGATGTAAGTGTAATTACAGAAAACAAACCCTTATGGACACATTATTTAGTGGACCGTAAATGTCTCTGTTTTCAAATGTCCTTTTTTCTTAATAGTGTATTTTAAATACTTTGGCATGCCATTTTTTTAGGAGCTTGCTTTTTAATAATTGCCTATTTTGCTATCGTATGAAGCTAATTTAACCAGAGTCTCTCCTTCTCTCAGTCTTCTTTACTTCTGTCTCCTTTCTTTCTGCAACTCCTTCCACTTTGCTCTCCTTTTGTTGTTCAGGGGAGAAAAATGAAGTATGCTTTTATTACACGGTTAAGTCTGCAAAGGGAAGTGTTTAGTTAAATGAGATTTTGCAGGTTTGGCAATACATGATATTTAGTAATTAGATGCTGTGTCTTTGGTTACGTATTTGTCTGTTGGGTTCTAAAGGGTGACCACTCAGGGAAATTGACCAAGCTATATCAGAGTGAATTTTTCTGGTGTGTAAAGGCAAGTTACAGAGCATCTGATAAAAAGCTTTGCCGTGTTATTCGATATGAAAGCCACTAGCCTCATGTGGGCATTTAAATTTGAATTAATAAAAATTAAATAAAATTAAAAATTTTAGTTCCTTAAGTAAAGTAGCCACAGTTCAAGTGCTCAGTAGGTACATGTGGCTAGTGACTAACCATGTTGGACAAGCAGGTACAGAACATTTTCAACGTTACAAAGAGTTCTGTGGGACAACCTTGGGGTGAAGTTTATATGTGTTACCTGTTTATTATATTAAAAGTTAAAAATCATTTTTGTTTTTAATTTTCTTCCTGGTTATATAAATGCTAATAAAAGTCAGTGATTTTGGAAACTATGAACAGCTCAAAATTACTTAGAGTAATTTTTGCTTTCCTACCAACTTAATATTTAAAATTACGTCCTGAAGTAAAACATGTATCAACATAGGGTTACCAGCATTTAGAAATTCTAGGAAAACACTTAAAAATTCCTTTTTTTTTTTTTTAAGATTTTACTTATTTGAGAGAGAGAGAGAGAAAGCACAGAGGGAGAGTGAGAGGGAGAAGCTGACTCCCTACTGAGCAGAGAGCCCGACATGGGACTCGATCCTAGGACCCAGAGATCATGACCTGAGCCGAAGGCAGACGCTTAACCAACTGAAACACCCTGGTGCCCCTAAAAATTCTTGATATAATGCAAAGTCTCAAGGTGGGCAGGGTAGGAGGATGCTCTCAAATCACTTGGGTGAAGATCTAAAGAAGATGATGTGGAAAGAGGGGCTCATTTTTTTTTTGAAAGATACTCAGAAGAAGCAAATTAAGCAGAGAAATAATGTATTTATTTAGGGATATAATTTTAAGTTGTAATTACAATATGGTCTCGATATAAATTAATCTGGAAAAATTAAGAAATGCTGGAAAGAAAAAATACAGGGAGGGGTGGAGAGGAGCCATCCCTAATCCTGCAGTCATTGGAAATAGCCAGTATTACTTGTCACATATCCGCCCAGCCTCCTCTCTGTCCTGTCATCCAGCAGTGAGTGAGGTCGGTGAAGGAGGCAGCCGAGATGTTAATCTGAGAGGCAGGCATAGGGAGTGAGGAAGAACTCTGACATTGAGCCAGATGGCCTGAGTTTTAAGTCTCAGCTCGACTGCTTCTATCTGTGGGACCATAGCAAGTTATTTATTTATCTCCTGTATATCTGCTTATCCATAAAATGGGATGATGGTGCCATCTGCCTCTTAATATTCTTGTGAGGGTTAAGGGATTAAAATACTAAACTCACTGAAGACTCTATTACTGATAGTACCGATGACTATTTTTTTTTTTTCTGGTCACTATTATGTAGGGAATACAAACCCATGGTAAGTACCTAATAAGTACCTAATAAGTATGAGCCTCTAGCAGGGAAGCAGACATTGAAACAAGAAAGCTAGATGAGTTGTATGAGCGGCTAAGCTCAGTATTCTATGATAGTGTTTGTTGAGGTGACCTAATTTTTGATAAAGACTCAAGTAAAATTAATTTAGCTCTTAGGTTGGATGGTTTTGTTTTAAATTATACTTTTAATAGTTTCGTACATCAAATCTTGCTCCTTTTATAGCTTGTATTCTTAAAAGTTTGTTTATTACCCTACTGTGATTAATGTTTGAAGGTTCTAAGATTTTAAATAAAAATGTGGCCCTGATAATTCTGGTAATATCATAAGTGTCAAAATTCTTTCCCTGATACTTTGCATTGTGGGCCAGGTTGCCAAAAAGGTAATAGAATCCTCTCTTAGCAATAGCATCTGGCTAATCAAAATAAAATCTATCTTCCAGACTTTTTACAAGAGAGTTTGGTTAGCTTTGAGTCTAATTAAAGAGTCGATTACTTGATACCTATGAGTGTATTACTTGATACCTACTAAAAACTGGAAATTCTGAGGTGTCACTTTTTTATATAGAGTGGGGGGTAATTTCTTCAACTATAAATAAGAAGAGGTTCAAATAAGTTTTCAAGTATAACATTTTAAGGGCACCTGTGTAAGAGCTGAAATGGATAGAACTTAAGAGCCAACAGTTTTGCATTTGTCAAAGCGTCTTGCATTTCTTAATGACAATACTAGATTTTTTTAAGGAACTCGGTTTGTCTTATAATGCACTAAAATATATTCTTGCCTCTGTGGTTTTGGGCGGAATGATGGGAAAGGAAGGACCAAGTTATTATTTAGTAATATAATTTTACTTGTTTTACAGTACAGAAAATTATGTCAGCAAAACAGTTATGAGTAATGTCTTTATGAGCAATCCCTTTGCTTCTTAGAAGTTTGAATTTGGAGGGGAAAGGTTGACAATTTAGAAAAAAAAAAAAAGCCTAAAAGGAATAGCATGCTGGGAAAAGCATTCCTGAAGCACGCCATGTTCCCGTGTTCTTAGTGGTGATCACATACCAACCTGTCAGGATGGGGCTGCTGGCTTATCACTTTGTTCTAATCATCATTTATGTGTTTAGCAGGAATATAAACTACAACCGATAAAATATTGGAGCAATAAATTTTAGAAATGACAGATTTTATAAAACTAACATAATTATTCAGGGGAAAAACAAAGGTTTAGCTTTTATGTTCTATTTGATAATAACCCCCCCATTTGACATCACATTAGAAACACTGGACCATAGATGAATTACACATGCACATTTGTCATCTGTAGGTTTATAGAAACATAGAATTTTTGTTTGAAGGTTTAGTGGATCAGTTTCTATACGCAGTGATAAAAATCTTCAAATATCTCACTGTTTGCTAGCAGGTGAACTTCTATTCATTCACTTGTGTTTCTTCCAGATTCATGAAAAACTCCACTACTATGAGAAGCAGAACCCCGTGCCCATCCTCCACGGCGCAGCAGTCTTGGCCGATGATGTAAGTGTGCCTTTCTGAGCTCCCTGGGACGCGGCTCCTTGGGACCCTGCACCTTCGTGAGCCTGGCCCGGGGCAGAGCTCATCCTGCGCCAGACAGATGCGTGCGATCCTAGGAGTGAAAACCAGGAGAAGCTGCAAATGTTTCCCAAAGTCCTGTCATCACGGAGCTTATGCGGATACTATACTGATTTTCATTCACTTTCCTGCTCTAAAATTTCTGCCTGGACATAACCCCCTCGTTCTACCTTGGTAACTGCGTACGAGAACTTTTAGCCTCTAACTCTCCGGGGAGAGAGAGAAGCTGTCAACTAGTGGAGTTCTGAGAAAGTCACAGGCAGGAGGAATGCTTTGGAGAAATAAAGACAAATGAGATAGGTCTATCGCTGACGGTGCTAAAAAATGACAGATACTAGGATAGGAACGAGGCCTTATGAAATACATAAAAAGACAGGATTGTTTTTAAAATGGGTTATAAAGCATAGTAATGATTTATGGATATCAGACCTCTCCAAATTACCTTCATAACCAAAAAATAAATTTTAGCAGCAGTTGGCATTGATGGAGTAGTTAATTTCCTGTAGCTATAATTTTATTTTCAATCTGGGGGAGGGAACTACCTTGCTGTTTCTTACTGTTAACTTTCAAACTTGGGTGAATTGAAAGCACACCTGGATAAACTATAAGGGATGCTAAGCCAGACGAGAAATAGGTCTCGTGTGAAGGCGGGTTTTAGCGATATCCTGTAGCTTATCTGTTGCTTTTTAAATTTTTTGCTCGGTTATGATAAAACAAGCCATTGTTCAGTTTAGTAAAATATTGGGGCCATAGAATAAAAAAAAAAAAAAACAACTGACCATCTTCAGAAGTTGATTTTCTTATATATATGTTTTCTATTTTAATTTAGATAATAAAGCGCATGTAATAAATCTCCCAAGTGGTTTGCTATTTGTTTAGTCCTCAGTCTCCCTTCCAGTTTTATCCACAGAGATTAGATTATAGGGATGTTTCGGGTTATGTGTTTAATGAGGAAGCTTACTCCTCTGCCTTAATAGAACCAAACTTTTTGAAGTGAAGGTGAGCAAAGGTTTAGAGAGAATTCTAGTAAGCTGCGGTTGGCACTTGAGAAAGTCTTAAAAATCACTTTAAAAACATTTACTATTGAGGGTTTGGGGAAATATTTGTTACTCTCCAATGTGATTGAGGCCGAATCATATTATGACAATATTGCTTTTTAAAAGAATTAGAGACTGTTAGGTAAATAGGGTAAAATGTAGCATTTTCTAATTCATCAGAGCAATATATGTAAATTTAAAAAATATTGTTACAAAGTGCGTAGAGAATGCAGAGAGCCTTTTGTGACTTTTTTGAGTTAACAGTTATTTATAATGATTATTTTACCTTGAAAAACAAAAATTTTACCTTGAAAAAGTAAAATCACTTTTTGCAGTGTAACCAATGAATATATCAGTTTTATCAGGTTTTATTTTTGTGTATAATTTATATGATGTCCTTCTTTTAGAGAAAAATCTTTTTCCAGAGATCAGAACAATTATTTTTAGCTTGGTAGAAACAATAGGAGCAAAGAGAAATTTCATGCAGTGTTTTAAGAAGGGTTTTTAAATAAAAATATATGTACGTATTTTGAATTCTGTACTGTGTATATCACAATTGTAATTTCTTTTTCTACTTGGTCTTGCTTTTCTTCTTAGGAAATTATATGATCCTTACTATAGCCTAAAATGGAATAGAGTGTTGATAGGAAGGTCTCTTTTAAAGAACATGAGGCGTGTTAAAAGTTCCAACCCTTTCTTTAGTTAGAACCAGCAAATGGGAATTCTTTTTTTTTTTTTT